ACGGCGGAGGCCCCGAGGTAAGGACGCGCGCGCCCTCGCCGCTGCCACGGCCACGCGCCCGGGCCGCCGCGCCCCACCGCGCGGACCCCTCACTCCAGACCCTGTTCACCCCCGCCCCCGGGGCCCGTACTCCAACCCCTCGTCCCCCGCAGCCCGGGGACTCCCGCGTTCTACCCGCCGCCTCCTCGCTCCAGACCTTGCCCCTTTCCCCGGGCTCAGGCCTTACTCATTCCGGCTGGCGCCTACCTTGCAGATCTCACGGTCCTCCCCGACCCCCTGACTCCAGAGCCCGCTGTTCTCCACGGACCCCTCACTCCAGACTCTGCTGTCCTCCACGGACCCCTCACTCCAGACCCTCCTGCCCACTCCCGGTGTGCCCTGACTCCAGACCCTGCTCTCCTCCACTGTCTCCTGACTCCAGACCCCGCTGCCCGCTCCCCAGGTCCCCCACCCTCCATCTTTCACCCTCAGCGCACCCACCCATTCCTGGCTTTGTGGTGTGGAAGGCCCTGAGGGAAGAGCAGGGGCTGGGGGGTGGGGAGCACTGGGGTGGGGAAGGGGCGTGCAGCCCGAGACCCGCAGCAGGAGGGGTCTCGTCCAGGGTGACCTGTTGCAGGGCACTGCTTGGGAACTGCTGCCTCGGTGTGGCTGTGCCCTCCCCCTTCCGCCCTTGCCACCGGTTTTGTTTCCCGGAAACACCTCGGATCAGGGAGGGGGTGAGGTGTCTATGCGCCGGGGGCGGTGGCCACGCTGATCTCCCTGCCCCCTTCTGCCCCAACTTTCTGGGGAAGCTTTCATGTTAGGGGCTGACGTCCTAGGCAGGCTTGGGGGTTCTTGGCCTCTGGATGGCATTGTTTGTGGGCAGTGGCCCTGGAGGGCTCCAGCACTTTGTTCCCAGTCTCCCCACAGAGGACCCTGGCCTCCGGGGGTGTCCACACATCATCCATCTGCTGGGGCTTCATCTGCGTGGGTCCTCTGTCCCTACCCCGAAGGACATGGCCAGGCTCAGGCCCCTGTAGCTCGTGGGTGTGAGAGATGAGTGGGAGCACAAAGGCTCCAGTGTAGGGGGGTGATGTCCGCAGGGACCTGATCTGGTCGCCGAAGGAGGTGGTGGTGTCTGTGACGAGGACAGATTGGGAGCCAGACCCGCAGGTTTGAAAGGGGGAAGTTTGCGGTTTCCCTGGTAGTTTGTTTTTGTTTTTCGCTCGTGTCTCCAAATTGTGCCCCCGGAAAGGGACCCCCAGGCTCTGCAAGTAGATGGGCAGGGTGATGGCTGGGGACTGACTGCAGCACCTCTGGGAGTGCATAGGGGGTGCACACACCTGAGATGACCTGCCACCCCCCCCCCTTCCCAGAATGGTGTCAGTAGCCCTGATAATTGGAAGGGGCTGGGGGCCCCCGCTGTGTGTGCCGCATTTGGCTGATGGAAGTGTGACCTGCGTGGGGCTGTGGGGAGGGAGGTGTGAGAGGAGCTGGCTGGACACACCCGCCCCGCCCCAGCGGTGGGCAGAACCCCAGGGGCTCCGGGCTCGCAGTGGTCATGGGGCACAGGGCTTGCTTTCTCTGCCTCAGGGTGGCAGTCGGACCTTCTTGGGTAAAGGGGCTTGTGGTCGGATTTTGACTACCTCTCATTTCTCTTGAGCGGATTGGGGATGAGCGTCTCATTGCCTGGTCCTGGGCGTGTCCCTGCTCGGGGAGGACAGAGCCCCTGTGAAGACAGACTTCTTTGAACTCCTGGTTCCGGTTCCAGCTGGCTTTCCTCCTTTTCCTCTTAATTACATAGTAATTATCTGTGGGTCGAGAGAGGAAGTAGGTGAGGTGTGGTGTTTTTTTTTTTTTTAAAGTTGAAAGCCTTCCCATCTACTCATCCCCGCTCCGGGGAAGCCGGCATGCTAGTCAGTGGACATTCCAGACACCTACAGTGTCACCTGTGTCCATGGGGATTTCCTGGTGGGCCTGAGTAAATGCTTGGGACAGGTCTGGGGGCCCCCGCTGACCCGGTTCCCTCAGGGCTGTACTTATGGAGGGTGGCGTTTCTCCTGGGATGCCCAGTAACCTCTTGTCCCGTGATTGCCTTTGGTGCCCATTCCCCGGCCCCCATGGAGCTGTCCCAGGCCACCTCACGAGCAGCCGGGGTCCCTTGTCCTGGTTGTGGTGGGTTCTTGGTAGAGTCATTCCAGGTGGGCCCTGAAAACCCAGGCCTGAGCAGCTGGGGCTCCGTCTCCTCCTGTGAGGAGTTAGAAGTCCATCAAGGCCCTGGGTCAGGTGATGGGCAGAGGGCTGGGGAAGGAGCAGGAGAGACGGGGTGCTGGGGGCCGCCAGCCTTCAGGCCTTTGGTGGCATTGGGCAGGCCAGTGTGGGCGTGCTGGTTGGGGTCCGCGTCAGCCCGTCGCACCCGATGGATGCCCTGGGGTCTTGGGCTACGCAGCAGGACATGCCAGGGAGCACTCTGATGACTGGTCGGCAATGTTGACGTGTGGCACACTCCGTGAACCTTTGGGGAAGGGGACACCCCAACCAAGTCTTGGTTGGCGTGGGAGGACCCCACCTAGGGCGGTTTCGAGTCTGCTCCCTTCCCCTTTGGGGGCTTGGGGAGCCCGTGTCAGGCCGAGCCCTGAGTGACCTTCTGAGTGTGGAAGACCGCGCGCACGCCTGTGCTCCCCGGTGCCCGCGGGACCGGCCCACGAAGGAGTGGGTGTGGCGGGAGCCTGCTTGTAAGCACTGCCCCGCCCTCACTCTCCCCGTGGATGGTGGCCTGCCTTTACGTCTCTCTCCTGCCCGGCTTCTACAGAAGCTTCTGGTGCAGGCCGTGCTCGCGTGGGGGCCCACACGCAGGGCCGGAGGCGCTGTCACAGGGTGGGGATGACAGCACATCTTTTCCTTGCTCAGAAACCCCGTGTCTTCTTGCTCCCAAGAACAGACCGTGGCTCTGGGCCCGGCTGTCACGCCGCTCCTGTCCAGGCCTTGTCTGGGGTCCCCTCCTCTAGAAGGCCTCCCACGTGCTCTGTTCAACCTCAGGGGCAGCCGGAGGTCCCCTCTGGGAGCCTTCCCCTTTGGGACAGGTCCTTTCCCTTCTGGGAGCTCGGCCACAGCCATAGTCGAATGCTGGGTTATTCCTGTGAGTTCCTGGTGGCGCGGAAGGAAGTCAAGTCAACTAGCAGGCCGGAGCTGGGGTGCGAGGTCGGCTCTCAGGTTACACCTCCCGAGGTTCTGGAGAGCCGCCAGTGACCCGGAGGAGTGAGTCCCTCAGCGGAGAGGGTGGCTGTGGGGACCAGCGTGGACAGAGTGCGTGCAGGGGAGGGTGGGGAAGGGACGCCTCACTACCTTGGGTGGACACCCAGGGGCCATCGCTCCCCCCCCCCCCCCCCCCCGCCGCCGAGGGGGTGCTCCTCGCACTCGGGCAGCTCCCCCCAGAAGCGCCACTCCAGGAGCGTTCTTGGCGGGTGGGCCAGGTGCCTGCCATTTCCGCGCTGCTCAGAGCCTCCTCCCAGACCCTGAGTGGTTCCTAGGGGGGTCCCGGGGCCGGCAGTTGCTGTCTCAGAGGTGGAAAGGGACGTGACGTGTTGTTACCTGCCTTCCTGTTGGGCTGTGATACCTTAGAGTCCGAAGACGGTCGTGTACCCTCCTGGAGCTGACAGCTCATCTGGTCTTGGGTCTGGAGAGACCGCGCAACTCTTCCCTCTGCGGACATGGCCTCCACGGGCAGGCGTTCCCAGTGCTGCCCCAGAGGCCGTGCCTGTCATCGGGGGTCTCTGCTTGCTGTGGTCCCAGGACCGGGCTGCTGGGCACTGAGCTTTTCTGCCAGCCTGTGGTCGTAGGGGCTCTAGACAGCACCCCTCGGTCGAGTGACGCCTCTAGCGGCTTCCCAGCAGAGGGACTGAGGACGTTTTAGTCTCTCCAGGTTCACCTGGGTGCCCCAGGCATTAGAAATCCCAGACAGAGATTTCCAGAAAGTCTGGGGGCTGCGGGGGCGGGGGAGACAGGGATGTGGTTTGCCTGGACGCAGGCACCTGAGGGCTCTCTCACTGGTTCTAGAAGTGCTTAGGGGCTGTGCTAGGGGGCAGATGTCTTTACAGTATGTTTACTGTGCCACCTGTGCATCTGTGCTGGCTCTCAGGACTCACCCCCAGCCGACTCAGGAAGAGCCAACGTACTGGGGGCGGGGGGCGCAGGGTTGTGCCTCTGCCATTACACCAGCAAGGGAGGGTGGTCAGGGGGCTCATGGCTCTGCTCGGTCACGGCCCGCCCTCTTAGTCTGCTGGCCCCCGCTCTGGGCCGCCTTCTCTTTCCTTCAGCTGCACTGATGGGTCTGTTGGAAATTTCTGCTGAGGACACTTTCTAGACTCGGCTCTCTTCCTTTCGGCACTGCTGACATTGGGCTTGGATCGCTCTCTGAGGATGTCCTGGGCGCTGTGGGGGCTGAGCTGCGTCCCGGGCCCCACCCACTCGATGCCAGGAGCCCTCCAGTCGTGACGGCCACAGATGTCCCAGGTGTCGCCCACTGTTCCTGGGGGCAGGATTGTCCCGGGTGAGAGCCCCGCCCTAGAGATTTCCTGCCAACCTGCAGCTGTTGCCGTGAGCTGGAGCCCGTCTCGGGGCCTCGGGGCCTCCCAGGGTCTCGGGGCTTCCCTGGGTCTCGGGGCCTCCCTGGGGGTGTGGCCGGGCCTCCTTGGCTCTCGGTCCCAGTCCCGGACCTATAAAGTACGGCCCTCCCTCGCCCCCCGGAGCAGGAAGGCTCAGGAAGCAGGTGGGGAGAAGGCGATGGGGGCAGGTCATTCCAGCAGCCATTGGGGAGGTGGCCTGTGCTGCCTTGTGGCTCCCTGGTGGCCAGGGTCGCCCCACGCCCGCCCCGCAGGGGGCGGCTGTGCCTCCCTGCCACTCTGCTGTGTCCTGCTCCTTCCTGGTTTCCTTGCTGGCCGCCTGACTGCAGGGGGAGGACTCGTACCTGCTGCCCAGGGAGGGGAGGGGAAGGGGGGGTCTGCCTTCTGTTCTGGGTGGAGGGCCCCGCAGCCAGGTG